CTTACCTGTGATATCCTACAGTACTGCCTCAGAACGAAGGACCCATTTCACACCAAAGGAGGTGTGACCATGAGCCCATGACTATGGAATGCACTGGTCTTGTCCCATACCCATCATCCAGGATTGACTGCCTGATATGATGGTGACACAGACTACTGACAGTTCCACTAAGGTGCTGGCCAGGGGTCAACACTTAATATGGCCTGGATACCACCTTCCACCCAGGATGTGAACCAATGACCAATGATGAATAGTGCCACTACTGCTAGAATACAGGAGTCTGAGAACCAACAAGTGTGGGAGTGGCCCCATCTATGATGACAGCAACCCTGCATATTTTGTTTCCCATGCATGCAACCTTGGACTCTCAGGGATTATAGATAGATCCTAGCTCCTGGAGATAGGAGTGGAGACAATTCTTTCAGGGTCACAGCAAGCATTCCTTTTAAGGGGAAACTATGACTACCACCTGTTTTTTGTTCTTGGCCAGTAGCCCAACAGGCAAAGAAAGGATTGGCTCTGATGGGACTGTAACTGACAAACATCAGGGACTAAGGTTGCTAGTAGATAATCGAGTAGAGTGGAGTGTGTCTACAACCTAGGTAAGTAACTGGGTATCTCTTAGCAGTAACTTAGCAGCAATGACTTTCAATGAGCAAGGGAAACCACCACAACCATCACCTTGGGGATGAAGGTCTGGGTCACCCCACCAAATAACCCAGATAGCCCAAAATGCTGCTTAAAGGGAATCCAGCAGAGGGGCTCATTTCACTAGTGCTCTTGCCATAGGCATCCAGAACAGGTCATCATCAACTCTGGGACTCTGGTCACACTTCCAGAGTAAGGATGCCTTTGTTCTCAGCAGGAGGAGGCTCAGGGATGGTTAAGCCCCACATTGTAGTCTGAGAGATGCACATAAAGGGAGGGAGTGGTGCAAAGGGTGGACTGAGCTGGGGCGCAAAACTTCTACATCTCCAACTCCCTCAACCAGTTCCGTCTCTCCTGCGGTTGGCACCCATCTGCACCAGGCTGCCCTGCACTTGGAGCTGACTGAGGCACACACTGCAGGGCATCCTGAGCTGGCTGTCAGCCACTAGGTGCTGGATGGTACACACCAGAGGAGCACAGGACTGAGTCCCACACTGAGCTAGGACCTCAAAGAGCTTCACCCTCAGAGCAAAGGAGATTAGCATCTCAACCTGCCCCTCCTGCCAGATGCAGGGCATGAGAAGGCAGCCTGGTGTGGACCAGAACAGGGGAATGGGGGGAGAGGAGGCCTGGTAGGGAGCTGAGACAGCTACCCTGAACCTGCGCTACTGGAACACATACCTTGGATTGGCCAGACATTCAAATGAGAACAGGACTGAGGCCGTCTCCATCACTGGGTCCTGTGTCCATGTGTCTGCAAACACTCAGCTTCATCCAGCTTTCTACTTTTTTTTGGCCAGCCTAGTAGTACAAAGTGATAGGTCATTATTTTATTCGGCTGTGATTACTAATGATTTTGAGCATTTTCTCCTGTACTTTAGGGTTTGGTTTCTTCTGTAAATTACATTTCCTCTTAGTTCAATTTGGGGGTTGCTGTCAATGGCATGTCTTAATTTTGGTTATGGTGTCACTTGTACAAAAGATTTAAATTTTGATATAGACTACTTCACTATGGGTTTTGCTTTTCTATTATCCCTTTTCTAATTTTTCCCCTATAATTAAAAATGCTGTTTAGATCCTTTACACGTAAAAAAAAAACACTTATTTTTGTGCATGGTATGAGGAAGGAATCTGATTTTATTCCATTTGGATAGCCAGTCCTTCCAAGATCACATTCTGACTTGAAATGTCACTTATATTGAATACCCAATTTCCAAACATGCCTGGGTCTGTTTCTTGATCCTCTATTGTCTATTCACACACTGATGCCACTTGCTTCAATGACAAAGTTTAATTTTGTCTTCATAATTCAAAGGGCAGGTCTACCCCTTCCTTTGCCCTCTTGTTCCTGCAAGATTATCTTGGCTACTATTGTCCTCGTATAGCTCCATATACATCCGATAATCATCTTTTTACATTGTTTTTAAAATGGTAGGAATTTTATTGGTATTGCTTTCACTATATGGTCTCGTTGAAGCAGTAATTCTTCTATCCATGAACATGGGTTATCTCTATTCTTTATTCCTTTAGAAAAGCTGTGTTTTTTCTTCATAAAGTTTTTCTTCTTCTTTTTGGATCCCAAGGTATTATAGTTTCTGGAGTTACTGTGAATGGGATAATTTTCCTATCATATTTTCTAATTTTTGTTACACTAATTTCAACATGTAGATAACCTATTCACCAATCCTGCTGATTTGCTAATTCTAATGATTTTCTTAAGTTTCTAAAGGAGATAGTACTATTTAAAAATTATAGCACACATACCCATTTCTAATCATTTTTTTTAGAATTTAAAAAAGTATTACATTAGTACGTCCAGGGCAATACTAATCATGGTGGTGATCAATGTCATGCTTACCTTGTTTCTAACATCAGGAGAAATGTTTGTGATTACCTATCATTAAACATGTTTGCAGTCTTTCATATTCCTTTTATTCAGTTAAGAAAATTATCTTCTATTATTTTGATATTTCATCATTTCTGCTAAGATTTTATTTAACTCATCATTTAAAAGTGAATTTTAATGGTGTGTGTTTGTGTGTTGGCGTGACTGTCTTTTCAAAAAGGCATTTTATAGTTAGCAATTAGTATTTTGGAATTTGTTAAGACTTCACTTGTGGCCAAGTACTAGGGAAAATTCTTCAATGTTTTCTATTTCTACTTAATACAGAGTATCTTGGCCTGCACCTGGAGTAAGAGGCTCAGAGGAAGGCTGAGATCTGCCTCCTGGCAGGAATCAGAGGTGCCACTGAGGCCTTTGTGCTCCCCCAGCAGTAGCAGTCCTGGCCGTATGAGGAGAAAGAAGCCTCAGAACTTGGATTTAGAGGATGTGAGTCATTTGTGTTTCCACCAGGTCGTGGTATCACACCTCATAGACCTTGCTTTCCCATGAGGAGCCTGTCTGCCAGACTCAACACACACACCTTCCACAAGAGCTTCCTGTGCTCCCATGAGGACTCCCTCCTAAGCTTCCCACATCACACCCAAAGCAGGGGTCCACAGAGCTGTCCTTGGGCAGGGCCACCACAGCCAGACATGACACCACCCTAATGCTGCAGCCAGCACATGCCAGGCTCTGGCTGGCTGCCTTCCCTAAGAACTGACCATATTGCTTTCCCAGTCACCACATGTCCATGCCTCTCAGGGGGCTCATACACTTACCATTCCCTTATCTGACCTCCCCTTTTGCCAACACTCCAACCTCTTTTCCTGTGTCTCCACCAAAAACTCCTATATCTCAACTTACCTGAACTTTCCCTTCATCTTCTGAAACAGCTGTTTCCTTTCTTGCCGTGTCACATGTGTTTATTTTAGCTAATTTCTTGTCTCCTCTCCCTTTCCCCCATGGCTGAATGACGGATGCACTAGGACCACTGAGTACCAGATAGGGCTGTAATAGGATTAACAGACAGTTCTGACTTCAAGGTAATAAAGACCTTAGGTTTCCAAGTATCTTACATCATGTAAGACATTCACACCAGGGGAGGCTGGGCAAAAGGTATATGGAATCCACGGCACTGCCTTTGCCACTTTTCTGTAAACCTAAAATTATCCCAAAATAAACCTTATCTTAGATTTTTAAAGGGGGTGAGGGTAGGCTATAGATTTTTTCCTTTTGAGGAAATGGCTATATCTGGGTTTGTCTATATGGGGCACAGGTGCTATGCTGGGTATAAAGTGCCAGGAAGAAGGGGCTGTGGTACTGGACAGCTGAAGCCACAGGTTGTAGTAGAGAGTTTTTCATCCTCATTGTTTCTCAAGAATGCTTCCTATTTTTGAAGAATTTTTCACAGTGCAAGTCAACTGGGAGCCGCTCAACTGAAGCTAAAGGGGTCGCTCACCCCCATCCTGGCGCATGTGGTGAAGCTAGAAGGTCACACACACATCCTGGTGTTCTGAGCATCGGGGCAGCTGGGACGTTTCCAGACAGCGGTAGCACCATGGGAGCGCTCGGGGAGAATGACGGCAGGCAAGACCTTGCTGGAATGGGCCCTGGCTGCTGCCCGCTGCCCTGCTTCCTGTAGTTCCACGTCTGTTCCTCCAGTCTTCCCACTGACCTGGTGCACTGCTCTATTTCCTTCCAGTAAATTCCTTCTTGCTTTCTATCCTGTCGCTTGCAGTTGAGAACTCTAATGATATGCCCACCAAAGCAGCCGGGGCCTCCCTGTGGACCAACGCCGGGGATGCCACTTGCACAGAGTACAAAATGGTGTCCCTAGAGTTCTGCAGTGTGGCACCACACAACTATTTATTAATGTGTGTCTAAAGCATGTAACAGAATAGGACATTTCCTTACTTCACTACATATCTGAACAACACAACAATCAGGATTCAAGTCTAGTACCTTGAACATGGGCCTTCTTACATCCACTCCTCTCTCCCACTTACTGTCTGAATAAGCTTGGGCAGGTGGCATGGCAGCCAGACAACAGGCCAATAATGGGTCTCTGTTACTGGTCATGCTCCTTGTCTGAAAAATAGAGACATCGTATGTCCTTCATTGACTTGTTGTGAGGATTTAAAAAGAAAGTCACAGGGTGCCTGGGTGGCTCAGTCGTTAGGCGTCTGCCTTCGGCTCAGGTCACGATCCCAGGGTCCTGGGATCGAGCCCCGCGTCGGGCTCCCTGCTCCGCGGGGAGTCTGCTTGTCCCTCTCCCCCTCCCCCTGCTTGTGTTCTTCTCTCGCTGTGTCTCTGTCAAATAAGTAAATAAAACCTTTAAAAAAAAAAGTCACATAGCACAGTGCCTGGCCCGTAAGAGGCATTTGAGAATTGCTCATTCCTTTTCCAGTGTTGATAAAAAAAATCATTTAGTTTGTATGTAGACAAGTGTTTCACCAAAATGAGATTATCTTCACTCGACACAATCCTCTGAGCCATGCCGCGTGCTGAAGCAGTACGACCTCAGGATACTCGTCCCGACGCCTCTGGCCTCCACACCCACGATGCTCGTACTGTCACTTTCCACATGGGTGAAGCCACTGCAGAAGGAAGGGACAGGCTGCATGTTAAACTTGAGGAAGACACATATTTAAGTAGTTAAGCCTTTACATGAAGATGGAACACAACCTCTGGACCTTCTCCACCCTAGCGCACCCCATCCGTGTTGAGACCTGCGTTCATTCCTACCAATTAGCAAATATGCTCACATTCTGGAGTGGGAGTATCAGCTTTGGGCCCTCCTGATGGTAGCTGTCTGAATTATGATTTCAGCAAGTCTAGAAATTTCCAGTAGAGAACAGGTATGTAATCCAATCTCAACAGGGTAGAGTCATTTCCCCAGAACCGAGAATCGGGCCATCAATTCCCAGCCAGTCTCGGTGAAAGACATCGACAGGAGCCGTCATTCTCCATGATGCTGTCTTTGCCTAGAAAGACAATGCTGCTCTGAGGTATGACAGAGAGTGAGCAGGTGGGGACAGAACCATACCAGCCAAACCACAAAAGGGACCTGAGTTTCCTGTAGAAGCTGGTTTTGGCCATAGATTGCTTCTAAAATATTGCCACTTCGGCTTTCATGAACTACCTTTTAGCTTAGAAGAAACTCCACACTAAAAATAAAACAAGATAAAATAAAGCTGCTAAGAACGTTCATGTACAAGTCCTTGTTTGGATATAACATTTCTCTTGGGTAGATACCTGGGGGTATATGGCTAGGTTTCTGGTAAAGTTATATTTAACACACCCATTTTCCCTGTTTTCTTTAGAGAATTATTTACGCATTATGTATTCACAGATGATAACATTTTAGGAAACTGAAAAGCTCTCAGAAAGTACCGGTTATGTCTTGTGGCATTCAAAAAGGTGCTGGAAAAAACTTCCGGGAACAGCATGGAGCAAAAGTGCTTGGGTTTATTGTTGCCAAACGAGGTTCCCAAAAGAAATTACCACTCAACTAAGGATTTCTGAAGGAACCTATTCTGAATTAGGAAAGGGGCATAATTTAAAATCATGATCCATTCTGGGGTCCTGATTAAAGCACACTTTTGAAAAGATATTTCTAAGTAAGTGTGCTACTTATTTATCACGTTGAGAATGATGTCATTTCAGTGAAGGATGTTTTCCATTCTACATCCACGTAATTCAGCGTGCAAAACCATGCGTTAGAGTCTCACAGTGCTACCTGCTCAGCACGAGGGTTCTGTTGTGTAGTGCGTGCAGTGCAGTGTTTCAAAAGACATGTAAAAAAGAAGTTTCTAAAAGTGCCACTTGCTTGCTTAGTTGAAACAGTATTATTTCAGTGAAAGGATGCTCTAATCAGGAATGATGTAGAGAATTCTTTAAAGACACATATAGAAAAGAAATGGGAAAAGTGTATTTTGAGGCCAACATGGGAGCATAATCCCCTCACTTTCCAGCGACCATGAGAACAAATGTCTGCACTGTGTGTCCCTCAGCAGAGAGAGGCTTCCTGCCTCTGGAGGAGGAGGCATCACGACGGTCCGAGTGGTTGCGGCGTCTAAGCGGGACCTCTCCCGCCAGAGAGGTATGTCACAAACGCCAGCCCCTGGTCACACGCACACTCAGCATCGTGAAGCCACGATGCCCCCGCCCCTGAAGGGCAGCGGCGTGAAGGGGCAAGCGTACAAGGGCGTTAACTAGCAAAGATACAGCAAAGCAGATGCAAACATGGCCTCAAACTTCAAAGGAATTTAAGGAGGAATCCTGAGTGAAGAAGCAACTGATGCAAGTCCTTCTCAGAACAGGAGCATCAGGCTGTCCTCTATGCTTTGTTTAGCAAGTTAAGAGAGAGTGTTAAAACCTACCAGTTATCATAAGATTTAAGCTGAATCTCTACCTCTTTCTTATCAGAAAGTTGAGTTTGTTTACTAAAAGGAATGAAGTTTTTCTGTATTAATTAAGAGTTTGCTTTAATAATTATCTTCAAATGACAACTGATTGAAAACACAGAAATGAGGTAGGTTTGTTACAGAAATCTAGTTTTTTTAAATATTTGGTATTTTTAAAATATTTTTAAATTTTAATTTTTTTTAAATTTTAATTTTTTTTAAATTTTAAATTTTTAAAATATTTTTAAATATTTGGGGCTTGGTATTTTTTCATTTTTCATTTATGACAGTAGAATGTCTGCCACAGGAGGCTGCAATTACCTCAGACCTCATACCATAAGTGATGGTGGTCCGCCATCTCACCGTGAGCAGCCCGGGGCAGGTCTGCCCGCCCCGTCCGTTTGCAGAACTCAGTCTGGCAAGAAGAAACAAGTGATTCCAAAATACTAATTAAAGAACCAAAGCAAAACTGCATTCTTTGGGACTTTTCCCACCCCACCCCGCTGACTCCACCACCATCTGCGCTTGGGAAATGGTTGTGGAATCGTGTGGCTCAGGGCAGGAGGTGGGAGCAGGGCTGCAGGTCCATGCCGGGCCACCTGGGTGTCACTGGGCGTCCCTGTGGGACTGTGGGCAAAAGAGCCACATCTCAGAGCCTCTGACCTGGGAGAGTGGGTGGGACCAACCGTAGGTGACAGTTTTGTACTTTAGAGGAGATAATGTAGATGCTGCTTAGCATCTTTGTTTTCAAGCAGTGGAGGAAATGGTATCTGAGCAGCGACTTATCTCAGGTCCCCAGAGAGTGCAAATAGGCCGGGCTGAGACCCAAGTCCCAGTCACACGCCTGAACAGCTGCCGCCGGCAGGCCAGGTGAGGCCACTTCACGGGTCAAGCAAAGGGAACTGGAAGCAGTTACCTGGCCCATCTGTGGGAGCCCCCGAGCAGGTGATAGCAGCTCTTGAGGACGGGAAACTTATTTTCCTTATTCCACACGTAGACCCGCAGGGAGAGGTCTAAGGAAGCAGTGAGGACTCGGCTCTGGTCCTTGAAATGAGAAGCCAAGTGAGGCGGAGCCACAGGCTCTGGAGGCAGGGCCATGATGCAGGCAGGCGGGCCCACACTCACCACCCACAGGGATGTGACAGGCTTCTGGTGGTCCTGGAAGGCTGCCAGCTGCAGGCCCTGGATGGTGAAGAGCACCAGCTCCGACCCCGACACCAGCAGGATCATCTGAGAGCCATGGCCCTTCATGAGGTGAGGAGGTGCCATGGTGTCTGGCAGAAGGAAACTTGCAATCTGTTGTACTTTTTCAAATAAAAACACAGATTGTCATCTCTCAATAGTAGCTGGGGGTGTGGAGTACACGTGCCTCACCTAAGATGACGTGGTACACTGACAAGACCAACATCTTTGTGGTCACACCTGCAATTACTCCCTGAATCCTCCCGGTCAGCCGCTCTCCCAATACGGATGGCGGTGCCCTACTTAAGGGGACTGTAAAGATTCGAGGCAAAATGCATGTGGAAGTGACAGTATCCGGCACACGTACCTTCCAGGGGATAGGCCCCCTGCCCCTCCCCAGCTACGGCAGGGTGATGTAAGACGTGGCGCCATGAGAACTATGACATTTATAACATCTGCCAAAAACTATTATGATGATACTGTCTTTTATACTGTATAGCATTCCTCGTTTTTTTTGTTTTTGTTTTTAATTAACTGGATCATTTCCTTATGGTTTACCAGCAAGGAAAAAAATTACCTTTCGAAGAATTCATGCTCATACCAAACAAGGGATTAGAATACACATCCTGTTTCCCTTTTCTCCTTGGCTGCTAGGAAGCTCAAAGTAAAGTTTATGGTCAAATGATGACATGAAAACAAATGAATATATACAAAAGAAAAAATTCTAAGGGCCACAGGGCCGGCCAGTCACAGTGACATCCAGTTTGGGAGAGAGAGGAGGCAGAAAAAGAGATGGCTATGGGTCTTATTTTCCTGCTGGCCGGGGAGCTCCCTGGGGAAGAAATGGTTGTGGCTTTTACTCATCCCTGTGCACACTTAGCACCAAGAAGAGTGTGTCTGCCACAGCTGTGACAAGACAGTGAGGAGAGGCGAGACTGTACGTAGTCAGTGGTTATTGTCTGGATCCCAGGACCACACAGAAGGCCCGGAATGCGGCAAGCGCTCAACCACTCAGCCAGTACAATCACAAAGAAGACATTTTGTTGGGCCACTATATTCACTGAGGGAAGAAAAGTGCCCCAAAGGAAACCCGAGGAATCTGTGCTTGAGGCACCACAGTGCAACAGTGACAGTCCTGGCATGGGGACCCTTACCCACAACGTCCACTCCTTCCTGGGACTGCTTGGCCCCCAGCTCGTAGGTGGTGATGGCCAGCTGCCTGCTATCATTGTTTCTGTGCATCACCATCAGCCTGGCTGTCTCATCAGGGGCCCAGCAGGCTCTGGAAGTCAGCCAGATGGGGAGAGTGGTGGAGACAGGAGGTTCATCCTCTACCAGACAGAGTAGGGAGCGAGTGTAGAACACCTGGGGGAACACCGCCATGTGGTCCATGCCGCCGAGAAGCACCCAGGAGGGCCGCAGACCCACACCCAGTGACCTCATTGTGTCTTACAGGGTTGCCGGTGCCCCTTGTGCACCCTGCTCTCCAGACTGCTCGGACTAGCCAGTCAGGCCCTGCTGGAAACATCTTGCGCACCAGTCCCGGGTTGGTCGGTGTGATAGGACAACCAAATCAATGGCTCTTGTGTTTTTTTAAGGGCTCTTGTGGTTTTGAGCAGTGTATGTCACTGGCATGCGTTTGCCTCCAACGTCTTGCTCTGTATTCCTGTCCTACCACTTGGAAGTCTGCTCCAGATGACTCCTCTGTCCCTGGACCATCCTGTCTGCAGGTGCTTCTGGGAGGCTTGGTCCTGCACTGGAAGCCACCCTCCCAGACCCATCCACAAGCCTGGGCACAGAACTCACCACCTTGTGTGCACAAAGCCACTGACCTTTGGGCCCAAGTCTGAGTCCTGGGTCGAAGCCAACACCCACTGGCAGTCAGGAGAGCAGAGGAGACTGGTGGGGCTGCTCGGAAACACACTGGTCCTGGAGAGCAGCTGCAGCTGGGGCATGGTCAGCGCATACAGGATGCCCTCGGCAGAGGCCACCTGCACAGACAGCAAAGGCCGTGGTCAACACATGGCCTCCCCCAGGGCAAAGGGCAACCGCCTGACTGCCTCCTTGCTGGCTATCGCTCCTTGGAAATATTTCTTGTCAGACATTTCCCACAACTTTTTACTTCCTCTCACTCTGATGGAAATTTAATTTGTTCACAAATCTTGTCACTGCAGCACTGAGTGCCCCTGCAGAGAAGCTCCACACACCGATTCCAGTATTTCCTCTGAGAGATTCCCTGCTGGTAAACCATAAGGAAATAAAACAAGCACGTGCAGACATGAAGCAACACCCTGAATTAGAAATTCAACACTCAAACCAAAATGGACAAAGAGCCAAGATGTGAAATAAAAGTTAAATTAATTCGGGAAAGATACTGAAGAAAAAGTTATCTTAAAGACCAGCAATATACCTAAGAGAGAACATATTCCACTGGGCCAATAAGGACACTGAAGAAGGAAAACAGGCAAGAGAACAAAGATGGAATAAAGAACTAAGACGAATCCGAGAGCAGGTGTCCCAGAGGACGGGCAGAGAAGATCTAGTAAACATACAAGTGAAGCTCCTGCACAGGAAAAGCAAACAATTAACAGACTAATACTTAAAGCTCACATAAAATGAAACTTTCTGAAAATAAAAGAAAACCTGAATCCATATATCAAAAGGGTACATATGCTCCTGGAAAAGTCAATCCAGGATGGCCACCACAGACACCTCACAACAAAACTACTAGACTTTAAGTATTTCAAAAATCCTTCAAGCCTTTGATTTGCAAGTCCAAGTGTATAACAAGAAAATTAAGTCAAAGTGGGAGTAGACTTTTCAACAAAAACACAGTGAAATAATATTTTCACAAAATTCAAGACAAATATGAGTCAGGGATTTAGCGCCCAGCCAGGCCATTCTTCAGGCGTCCAGGCTACAGAAAGCAGCGTCAGACCTGCAAGGATGGATTCGATAGACTTCCTCGGGGACCTACTAGAGGATGGGCCCCACCAGACCACAAGATACAAGGAAAACGTCAACAGAACTGGTGTGACTACCAAGTACAGTACACTGTAGGTCAAAGTTTAAAAAAAAACAAAAGGGAGACAAGGAAAAACAATGTGTAAATGTTGCATATTCTCAGAAAGGTGGAAATAGTGGATCTTCAAAAGCGGGAAGAGAAGGGACAAGGATCAAAGTAGAGTAAGTTCACTGATCACCATGGGAGAAAAGGAGTATCATGTAATGCCAACAAATAAAATAGTACGTAGGTCTGAATACGGAAAATGGAGACAGAAAGTATTAAGACAAAGGTAACGATGCCACAAAAAAAATAAATAAATAAATAATACAAGCCTTCCTAAATAACAAAAGATAGCACCTTTATCCAAAAAGATACACATTAAAAAGGGAAAACATATTTGAAGAAAGGAGCTCAGTAATGTGCCACACCACACCATAAACGTGACATAAAACAAAATTTGAGATCAGGCACATACGTTGTTCAATGTAAATGGCTTAACTCACTTTATAAAAAAGATGATCACACTGATGTACAAAAGAAAACCTGACTGTATATTCAAGAAGCTCAATCAAAACAGAAAAGTTAACCATGACGAAACAGTAAAGGTGTGCCAGGCACACACAAATCTGTGGAAGGAGGCGAAGTGGTCCTAATACCAGAAAAGGGAGGACTCAGGCCAAAGCAGGAAATACAACAACAGACACTTCCTATCCCTGTGAAAATTACTAAAAGGAAACCTTGTCTAGAATGGAGTTCAGAGGCTGGCGGGGGGCCCTCACGCCAAGCACTGGTTGTCAATTGTGGACCCAAGACGAAGAGGGGGACCTCCTGGAGAATGCTCCTTAAAATCCCAGCAGCAGCAGGAGGAGGAGGGTTTCTTCTGGCCCCGCAACAGCCCAGGCAATGAGAGGCAGTCACAGCTCAGCCAACGAGAAGCCGCTATACTTCCAGCTCCCAGTGCAGCCCCTCCCTACACCCCTTTTCCTCTCTAAAAGAACCTTTCTCTTCTTTGTTTTTTGGACTTCTCTATGGTTTTGCCACAGCTAGCGTGTCCTGAATTAATTCTCTGCTACTTCCACATAAACCCATTTTTGCTAGTAAAATAACTGGCAGCTTTTTTTTTTTAGGTTAACAACACTAAAGGCTGTAATTCACAATGAATAAAACCTCTGATACTTATCAAAGAAACACCCCAATCACCTTCACAAAGCAGACGCAAAAAGAAACAAGGTGAAACACAGTAATAATATTCAAATATTTATGAGTTAAACATATTATATAAAAATAAACAATAATAATGCTCTCAGTCTAAGGCGAAGTAGACAAAAAGTAAATAAACGTTAAGACCTAACAATATAATTGGGGCACCTGGGTGGCTCAATCGGTTGAGAGTTGGAATCTTGGTTTCAGCTCAGATCATTATCTTGGGGTTGTGAGATCGAGCCGCATGTCAGGCTCCATGCTCAGTGCGGAGTCGGCTTGAGATTCTTTCCCCCTCCCTCCCTCTCTGCTCCTCCCCCTGCTCGTGCTCTAATAACAAGACTTAACAGTAATAATAATGACTATATTTGGTTATTTGTATCCCAATAATGGAGAATACACCTTCCTTGCAAGCACACATAAACTTTCACAAAAATGGAAGAGTCACAAAGAAACCTCAGTAAATTCTCTATTGTAAAGTAATACAACATTCTCTGGTCATGATAAGGAAAATCTGTGTCCTAAGATGGCCGACCAAGCCAGCGAGAGAATTCCAGTCCTTGCCCCAGGGGCTCTTCCAGGTTCTTCTCCCTGCTCTGCTTCCCGCACCCACCAATTCGGGTTCTTCTCCCTGCCTCGCTTCACACACACGCCAAAAGTGCCAAGTATGCAGAAGTGTATAAATTGCCCCCTTTGTTTGTGCTCGGGGCTCAGACCTTTGGAAACCACTCTCCTCTGAGCCCGCCAGCATTAAATAAACCTTCTATCCTCCAAGATCTCCGGGTGCCACTTGGTTCTTCTGTCAGGAGATCCAGTCCAGGTTCTGTAACATTTGGTTCCCTGACCGGGAAACCCAACCGTGCTGGCCCATTGTTGCCACCGGTTTGGGGGCAACGGCGGGGGCAGTGACGGAATGAGGGATCATAACGGAGAAGGTGTACCCTGCCTAATTTTTGGCAGTCTCCCGCCCCCGTCACCTCGGGCCGGCCCCTTTGCTGTTCCCACCCGACTCGAGGAAACCTGGCAGGTGAGGACCTGGTCCCAACGTCGGATTCCAGTTAAGGCCTGGGGCCCCAGGACCCAGACAGGCCCACCCCTACTGGGGTGGAAGGGGAGCCTGATCACCTCCCAGAGACCTCTTAGCGGTCTCACAGGTTGGGATTCCCAGGGAGGGAATGTAATAACTTCTGGAGTGTGAATGTGTGAGTGAATGTGCAGTCCGACCTGGCTTGCTCAAGCAGACTGATTCTGTAGCTCCACGGGCGGGCACCCTTAAGGTCCCCAGAAGCCCACGGAGTCTTGAGTGGGCCCGTATGCAATTCTGTGGTGAACGGCATACAGTCTATGGCGGTATCAGAATAGTTTCCGATCGTAAGTCACAACGCTGAGACTGCTACGGCTAAGCCTCACCTAAGCTCCTTTGGGACATGGCCAGAAGGGCATCTGATTGGTCTCCTCACCTCAGGAGGCACCCCACCCCTTGTCTGTCTCTGCGCCACCGCACACGGGGACATCACCATGGGGTCAGGGCAGAGTAAACCTATGGTTCTAGAGACCATGATCGAAAATTTCAAGAAGGGGTTTTTGGGAGACTATGGAGTCAGGATGAACCCTGGCAAATTGAGAACCCTATGTGAATTGGAATGGCCCACCTTTGATGTCAGATGGCCTTCAGAAGGGACATTCGATGTCCCAACGATTCATCGAGTATGGCGAGTCCTAACAAGAGAACCAGGACACCCTGACCAGTTTCCATACATTGACTCCTGGCTAGGAATTGCTCAGACTCTTCCCCCCTGGGTGAGATTCGTTTTCAATTGGCAGGGAGAGGCCAGGATCTTAATCGCTTACCCCCAAGACCGTCTACACCTGGCCCTTCAGCTCCAGACACTCCACCACCATCAGTTTCACCAGAGCCCCCAGGCCCAAAAGATCCACTTTCTCCAGGACCAGCAGCCAGGCTGCGCCCTACGCTGGGCACAAGCACCCTTCAAATGCCGGTATGAGAGACGCGGGAACCTGAGAGGCATGATGAAGACGGGACAGTCCAACCTGGGCCATTCCATGATGTATTATCAGCCCTTCTCCACCACCGACCTCGTCAACTGGAACTCATCGGCCAACCTGGGAAGACTGCCAACTGTTACTCCCCACCCTGTTTAACACAGAGGAAAGGAGGAGAATAATGAAAGGTGCATGGCAATACCTGGAAGAGCAGGCAACAGCAGAAGTCATCGACCCTGCTGCCTGGGCTAAGGTGGTCATACCCGAAGAGCGCCCAGCATGGGACTTCACCACAACCAAGGGACAGGCCCACATCCACCGGTGCCAGGAGGCCCTCCTCCGGGGAATCCGGGCAGGAGCTAAGAAACCCATGAACATGACTAACGTATCCTTGGTCACGCAACAACCAGGGGAGTCCCCCGGGGACTACTATGAAAGACTATATGAAGCCTACAGGATATACACTCCATTTGACCCCGAGACACAGAAAAGCCAACAGATGGTAAACACCTCCTTCGTGGCTCAGGCCGCCCTAGACATCAGGAAAAAACTTCAGAAACTAGAGGGTTTTGCCGGGATGAACATCACCCAACTAATAGAGATTGCCAGTAAGGTCTACACGAACAGGGAGGTCGCAGCCGAACGGGAAGCCAACAAAAAGATGAAAAAGAAAGTCAGCCTCCTGGCTGCCGCCCTGAAAGAAAACGACAACACAAAGGCAGGGAGATCCTGACCTCCGAAAGGGGGGGAAGCCCAGAACCCCCTTGGCAAGGGATCAAT